ACTGAGTAGGAATTTGCCTTTGGCAAAGGAGCCCATCTGGCCACAGCACCAGGCACTTAGGGAAGGGCAGCTCCCCCAAGAGGGTCCCCTCCATTCCTCTACTTCTGCTGCAAACCAGAGCGATTCACTGATTGCCCCTGCCTGCAATCCCAGCTCTCTGAGGAAGCCACGGSAAGAGGAGGCGTGATGGAGACCCTGCCAAGAGCCCTGCACTCCCAAACTGCAGCAGCTACGAGGGGTGACACAGAGGTGCCTCAGATGTTTTCCTGAACCAGCCTGTTCTGTTCAGAGAGCTAYAATAAGCTTGGAGAGAGCACTCTTGTCTCAGGGTGTTCAGGTGGCACATCTCCACCGGCAGGTTCTCTCATGCAGCTCAAGCTCCAGGGAGATCTGGCCAGACTGGGGACACTGGTGAGGATTCACTTCCAGAACACTTTGCATCTGTTTCCTCAACAATGACACCAACAATYGTCTGCTTCAGGAAACTTCAGCAGATTGTCATCATGAGCATTAATGCTTTGCAGCTCYATTTTATCACCCTGTTAACAGTGCCCTTTCCACAGCCCAGCTCTGCCCCRCTGAGCAGAGGGGAGTGGTGCTCCGCATCAGCACATGATGCCTCAGCCTTTCCCTAGGCAAGGTTTAGCCTTTCCCTCCTCATAACCCAAAGGGCTACATGATTCCTTGGATTGATGCTAAGGATGGGAGACCTCCACAGCTGAAAAAATGCTTTACAACCCTAACTGGAGTACAAAACCAAGTTCATGACACTGTGGAGCCAAGGATGACTTGACCAATAGACACCATATTCGCTGTTTTACCCAGGCAGTGAGTGCAATCCTTACAGCCATTCTTGCACAGCTTTCTCTGACTCCCACGAGCAAGAGCCAGCACATCTCATGAATTTTCAGCACATCCACAACATCTGCCTCRCATACCTGCCAGCACTGTTTAACGACAGCTAATAATCATTTTACTTAAGGAAATTCAGAGACGCACACCAGACACGTCCCCACACAGAGCACTCCCCTGACACAGCACACACACAGGTACAGCTCATCCCACAAAAACACACATTARTTATGTCTCCTCGTAGCAATCCAACAGCCCTGCTCCCACAGASACCTCAGGTTTTGTTGCCATCTCTGCCTGTACAGTGTGTGCCTCCTGCAGCTTGCTCCAGTTCCTGAGCTGTGATGTGGCCCTGATTTTCTCCCCTGGGAGCAGGACAAGAGACACCATAGCACTGYCTCGTTTGCTCCCAGCACTGCAGGGGAGCGTCTTAAATGATCTCCAGGCTTTCAGGAAGAGGAAGGAGTATTTCCCACCCTCTCCGTGTCTCCAGGCTTTGGTAGGGTAGGGATCATCACAGAATCACCAGCATCATCTCCACATGCTGCCCCTGATTGCAGTAATTTGGGTTTCTGCTGCTCCTCCACCTGTAGCAACTCATCAGATGTGATTTCCTTGCAGYAGAGATGCTTTCTTTTGGGAAGTTTCAGATGTCTAAAGTCCACTTCTGGGGAAGCCCACTAATAAATTGTCTGCATGCTCAAGTTACTTGCACTTGTGCTGCAGTGTCCTGTCTCACTCAGGCTCCAACTTCTGATGTTTCTGGGAAGGTGCCATCCCAGCTGGTCCTCCACATGAAATGTGCCAGGCTCCAGGTCTGACTAAAGCTCTTGCAGSAGTGCCCAGGGTAGGTTTTCTTGTAAAAACAGGAGAGAAAAATGTATCCCCTACAGTTTAATATATTCCATTACACAGTCCCTGCTGCACTCAGATAACACCAGGATAGGCCATGTCCTGACCTCATGCCTTCCTCCACCCTGGGTGAGTGACTCAAACAACAGGAAAACAGGGGAGCCCTCTCCAGGGTGTGAGCTTTTGCTCAAAGAGAAAAAACACCCAAACTATTCCTGTTGGGTTATTTTGGTGTTCTCTGTGAGGCTGGGACCAGCAGATGATGCTCTTGGGAAGGCCCTGGCTGCCAGGGGTGGCAGCATACACGGAGAGGGGACTTTATCCTGCACGATCACGGACCAGAGAGGAGAGAAAGGGCAAAACCGTCACCTGTGCCCCTTCATTTAATTGTGTTGTTCTGCAGATACACACCCCCTTCGTGTTCAATGGGTTAAAGCAGCTTTCTGTATGTACTGGTGTGATCTAAAAATACCCCAGTTCTGCTGACAGCCAAGGCAGGCAGAGGCTCCCAGGGGCTCATTTTCCAGCCCAGTGTGTGCCCCAGCTGGCTGCCACTGCCCCAAGTGAGAGGAGTTTGAAGAGCAAGAGCAGTGTCACACCCCCTCACAGCCTTGCTGCACATCACCCTCTGTGTCCCAGCTGCTCCAGGAGAGCAATCCTCAGCTTCCATCYCTCTGCCCAGCCCCTGGCACTTGCTGGCTCCAGTTGCAACAGGGGCTGGACGGTTCTGCCAGGTGATTGCAAGGGGCTTAGCAAACAGACTCATTAAAAACACCACAGGACATCTTCATCACCTCCCCTCTGACCCAAAGAGGCTGCATGCATTTGTGATTTAGACTAATCCCAGATTTTATTGCAGTTTGGGTGTTTTTCGTTGGGGAGATAGAAGAAATGCTTACTATGATTTATTTACATTATATTGGCCCAACTGTGTGGGTGCTCAGTTTGTATCAGACTTGTGTTTATTGGTTTGTGTTTGCTGGTTGCTCTCACAGCCTCAGCCCTGTTTGGACTGCTGGTTTATTTGGCCACCACCACCCCAGCAGCTGGCACTCCAGGTTTAGGATTTGCAGGCTGTAGGGATTCAAGTCTCTGAATGCCTGCTGAGGAAGGGAAAGGCTCGGTGCCCCGGCTCTGAGGCAGCGAGGTGGTATCAGCAGACACAGTTTGCTGCCTTCCTCCTCCTCCTCCTCCTCCTCTCCACCTCTTGGTTTCCAGATGCCAATAATTCCATATTTGGCAGTGTGCAACTGTGATGGCTTCCTAAGGGGAAAACATCTACTTTGGCAAAAGCATTTAAGACTCTTACTCCTGCTTCACATTCTCAAGTGTATGTGGAGCAGAGGGAAAATCTTTCCATCTTATGCCTGCTTATGCAGCTCAAGTCTTTTGTTCAAAAACGCCTCCCAAAGATTGGCTAATCATAATTAATAAAGATAATGCACCRGAATTGGAAAAATGAATTTGTTCCTGTGAGTAGGCAAGTGGCCTGAAGAGGAATCAAAAGCCAAGGTTTATGAGATTTTAATCCCAGTTTTTGTATCTCTTCCCAGTCCAGAGGAGGACACTTAACTGCTTCATTAGCATCATTCCTTTCCRAATGGGACTAGACTTCATCTTAGTCACTGTGATAGTTAGAGGATTAATTGACTAATTCAGCACCTCACTCTAATGATGTAAATATCTTAAAAGTTTCACTGGAATGATGTGACGCTTTAAGAATTATTGCTCATTTATGACCTTTCTTTGTAACACATCTTGGAAGAGTTAAAGGTAAGGCAAGAGGGGAAGATTTTAATTTTAAAAAGAGACAAGCATTTCCACTTGGCAACATTTTACATCCTGATGGAAAAACATAAACACCCAGTCTCTGATCTTGCYTCAATCCATATTTAATCTCAGAGAGTGCTGTGGTGTAACTTTGATGACAACACTTTCAGGAAGCATGAGGGAAATATTCCAGGCTTCCTTCTGCTTTGAAAAAACTATAAAGGAAAAAAAAGGTGGGTGAAGCAGGGCAGAGATGCCACATAATCCCACTTGGAGGACACAAGAGACATGGAAGACAAAGCCAAAGAGCAAAAGACAGCAAGGGGGAGACTTATCAACATCAGCCACAACCCTTTCACTCCATGCCTGCTCATGCCCAGCTCTGGCATGTGCCACAGGGAGGAGGTGGGAGTATGGAATGGGATCCAGCCAGCAGCAGGAGGATGAGCAGGGTTTTAGGAGCTGGTGGAATGTTAGGAAGACACTGGAATTGATGCTTGCAGAGAATGGCAGGATTAAAAATAGCCAGCCTTCCCCAGCTTTTTGCCATCTCAGCTGCCCGTTATCCTTGTGACCCACTGAGGAAGGGGCAGCAGAGATTCTCTTTTCCACCACCCTGGCAGTGCAGGACAAAATGGCGTTTTGCTTCTAACCCAGTGGTTCTGTTCTCTTGGTCTGATGAGTTTTACTACAAGGGTGTAAAGTGAGCGTTTTGTCTTTGTCTTCAGTCAAACCAAGTAACTCCCACCTCCCCCAGAGTCCAACAAGGCACTCGTGGGCACTGAAGATGTGCTCATTCATTCACATGTTACAGGCTATTTGCAGGTTTCCCTCCTTTGAGAGGAAAAAAGGTAGAAACCATCATTTCAATTCAAGGTGTTGATTAAAGAAGATGTTTCACAGAACTATGTTATCCAGTACAATCAGCACTGCACCTTGGTACTTAGCTTAGAAATGCTCTGTTTGTCTTAGAAAAACCCAAAGACAATTCATAACACTGAGAGGTGATTAAATATGTACTTAGGTAAGGTGCCTGAACCTCCTGGCCAACAGCTCATATTTTGTAGGAGCCAGGACCAGTTTCTTCTGCTCTTTATCCATACTGTGTGTTTCTGCATGTTGGTTGTGGGACAGACAAGCTTCCCTGAGCTGTGAGTTTCAGCTTGCCATGAGCCCAGCACATCAGCTCGAAGTAAAAAAAATCTGCCTTGTCCAGTGATGTAAATTTAGGAAGAATCTTTGTGAAAGGCTGCTGTGGTGCAGGGCTTTCCCTCCCCCAGCTTTAACCTTCATACATCACCAAGATCCTTCATCTGAAACATTTTAGGAAGTCTGAAGTGTGGTTGAAAGATTTGTGCATTTGTCCCAAGCAGAGCCAGGGGCTGCCACAACTTTCTTTAAGAAGTTTAGCACAAGGAGCGAGGAGCAGGTCAGAGGGAAGGGATCTGCAGGATGCGGTGGCTCTGTGTCACCCGTGGGTGCTGTGAGTGTCGCATGTGTCACTCATGTCGCTGCTCTCTCCCCAGGGACGTTCGTGTCGGCGTTCACCGTGCTGTGCGGGGCGCGCACCGACCTCCCCGACCGGCACATGTGCTGTGTCTTCTGGCTGAACATCGCTGCTGCTCTCATCCAGATCCTGACGGCCATCGTGATGGTGGGCTGGATCATGAGCATATTTTGGGGGATGGACATGGTCATTCTTGCAAGTAAGTACAGTGCACTCGCCCTCCTGGCTTCTCCTCTCCTCCCCGTGTCCCTGGGTCCCAGATAATGTCCCTGCAAGCCACTGGGCTGCGCTGTAGGGAAGAAGAGCTGCCGGATGGGTTCTGCAAGCTCATGAGAAACACAAGAGGCAAAGAAATTGCCCTGTGGGCCCTGTGACATACCTGGAAGAGCCTCCCATCCCACCATGTGGGTCAGGAGCTTCCTTTTCCCTTTATGAAATGACATGTGCAGGAAGGGAGAGCTCTGTGAACGCTGCTGTGAGCGCTGTGAATGCTGCCTGGAGTCCTTTCTGCCCTGGTCACATCCATTGGAACAAGAAAGCCCTTCCTCCCTTGCACATCTGGCAGCAAATCTGTGGTTACTGAGACTTTTCTGTGTCGCTGCTTCTCCTCCCAGGGCCAGCTGTCACCAGAAATGCCCCGGGGACTCTCCCGGATTCTCCCCTTGCTCCTAAGGATACATTTACATTTACCCAATGTTTTGGGGGGATTTCTTTTCATGTTTCAGACCAAATTCTTAGGCTGGGCCAGGAGTGTTTAACTGCTCCTAGAAAGACTTCCCATACACCTTGGAGTTGACTAAAACATTAGGATAGGGAAAGAAGGATCCTTTTTTAAATGTACATCATTTAAGTAACCCAGTAAGGAGATATTACCAACCCAGAGTAAAGGTTCTGTAACTTTTACCTGATAGAGGCTTTTACTGGTGTAAAAGTGGTATCATATCCCCTGTATCCTGGTGCACAGGTTTGAGGTGACAGCCTCATCTCACCCTACAGCCTCAAGCAACACGGAGCTCAGGGTGCTGGTGACATCTGCAAAACCCCACTCCCTTTCCAGAGGCTGGCAGAGGCCAGTGGGCAAATGCCCCAAAGCAAACAGGCCTGAAATCTCACAGGCTGACAAAAGTAGGTCCCAAAGCAAGCCCCTCCCCCAGAGACCATCTTATCAGCAGCTCTTGCCTTTTGGKCTGAAAGGGCTCCACTTTGTCATCTCTGCTGATGACATGTGTGGCTGCACAACAGAGGGGGAGAGACGATCTCAGGAAGGTGACAGGAACCCTCCTAAAGACAAAATGGAAGAAATTGAAAAAAAAAAAAAAAGAGGCAGGGAACCAGTGCACATTTTCAGCTGCCAAGCCCAGGGGTTAAACCCTCTCACCAAACCACCTGCTAATTTCTGAGCCAGCTTCAGTTAAGGYAGTCCCCATGCAGAGCCCATTAAAAACCTGAACACATGCAAAACAAAAGCTTTCCTAGGGATGAAGGCAGTACTGCTCTTTGCTTTACCCTGCAAACCACCTACCACGTTTCCTTCCAAATGTACCTGCAGAGCAGGTGATTTCTGAGGATAAATTGTGAATTGGTGTGTGTGTGTGTGTGTGTGTGTGTGTGTGATGTGTCTTTAAGAATCTGCCAGATTTGTGTGTGATCCCATAAATGCATGTTCATAACCATAAGCTCTTCTGCTCTTCTTCTGTGGGGCAGCCCCTGTGTGTGGGTCACTGTCAGGCAGGACCCTATAYTGCAGTCGTAGGGAGAGTCAGGAAAGCTTCTGTCCTGACAAAGAACCGCCACTGAAACTGTGACTTGCTTTGCTCCATAGTCCTGCTCCCCAGGTAGAGGGTTTGGCACCTAGGAGGGTCTTTTCCAGTTCGCTACTAGGAAAAGCCATACAGCTTGGAAGTATTGCCCAAGCATTGTTTCCCAYATCTGGCTGGATTCCACCCATCTGGGAGGCAGAGGATGGATGAGCAGCATGTGCTGGGAATGCTCAGGCCAAGAGGTCCCCGGGCACAGCAGCAGCATTTCATCCCTCTGGTGGTAGCAGAGCATGGAGTTGACATGTCTTAGGTTCACCAGCAGCATCTGACAAGTTGCAGCCCATGGTGGTTTCCTGACATCTCAATAAATAACTGATTTTAAGTTTACTCACCATGCAGAGAAAGGAGTTGCTAAATAAATAAGCTCTTGGTTGGTGGGGAATAAAAGAAAAAWCTCAATCTCAATTGAAACAAAGAACAAAGTGATCGCTTGCTCTCAGCTGGATCAAGCAGCSCTGTCAGAGCCAAAGTGGTTTGTGCTATCATGTTAGAAATAAAATAATAACTTCAGARGGAAACCGTGTTTCAAATGCAAGAAATAAGACATTTCATTTAAAAACACTKCCAGGAAACAGTTTGCTTTGGCTGGGTTTTGTTTGCATGCAAACCATTGGATGCACTGGACAGAAATTGTACAACATTGCAACTTCAATCTGCAAGCAGATGGGAATTAGTTAAAAAATATGAAACCACTGCCCACCTCTAATCCCCTTGCCTTGAAATGGTCAATTCCATGTGTCCCTATGAGGGTGCCACGCTATTTGGGTGGGCTGGAGGCAGGGCACAGYGGGTGCTGTCTGAGCTGCTGAGGGCTACCACTGAGGAGGGTGGAAAGCAGCCAAGGGTCAGGAACTGTGCTTAGGCTTTCCCTAAGGGAAGAGCACCTYACTACCTGGATCAGGGTCTGTCTCTGTTAGCTGGTACAGTTGGGAGGGAGCTAGAACCACAAAATCATAAAATCACTAAGGTTGAAAAAAACCTCCAAAATCATGGAGTCCAASTCTCAAACCATCACCATCATGTCCACCACTGAACCATGTCCCTGAGTGCCACATCCACATGCCTTTTGAACAGAAGGCTCATTGCAGCTTTTCATCTTCGAGTTGTATTTCCCATGCATGGAAAGAGGGAGTCTGCTCTGAGGATAATGGCATAATGTCCATAATGAGGGAAAAAGRAGAAGAATTATAGGCCAATCAGGTATACTTCAATTCCTGGAAGAAGTAATCAATTAAGTGACTCACATGCATTCAGAAAATAAAAAACACCCCCACAAAGTCACCGTGGATTTTTCCAGAGTGAGCTGTGTCAGACTGGCTTGATTCCCTTCAGTGACAGAGGAATTAATTTCGTGTGAGGTGGCAGCAGYCAGCTATCCCTCCTAACCTCCACATGCTGACCCCGTCTCACACAGCATTCCTGCCAGCAAGCCAGGGTGACGTGGCCTGCATGAAAATGCACTTGGGAACTGTTCTCTGAATGGATTTTCCTGTCCTGGAAAGGCATAAGGAAAGGTGTGTTGGAAGGCTTCCTGAACCCAGCTTTGCTCCGTGTTTTAATTTGTAGCTTGAAGATGGGGAGGAGAAGAGGTTCCCCAGCTGCACACAGTGAGGGCAGTGCCCTGATCCACGCAAATCGAAGGAATGGTCTGGAAACAGTGAGTGCTACTCAGTAGGGACGAGCCCAAGGCTCTACAGAAGAATTAATGGACTGCATGAATACACACCAGGGAACAACTTGTTTGTCAGGGAAGGACGTGGTGGCTGCAGCGAGTCACAGGTGACACAGGGGAACATTGCTGCGGAGGGAGCAAACAGCACACAAGCAGGTAGAAGTGGAGCTTGTAGGGCTCTTACTGATCCTCTCACCTTTCTCMGCTTGCATAAAGCTGTGGTGAGGTTTGTGACCAGCTTTGGAAGTTGTACTTCAAATGTGGAAATCCTGGAGAGAGTCCAGAGAACCATAAGACAGTAGGGGTGTTGATGATGAAGGTGTTCAGCCAGCTAGTAAATGTGGGAGGGCAGCAGTTCAGCCTAAGACAGACTTAAATAAGAGCAGGGAGGATCTGTGTGGAAATTAGATGACATTTTTCCTCCAGTAAGGCCAAAATGCTGCAGATGTGGCATTGTCYCCAGAAGACTCCAAGAGTGGCCTGACCCATGTTTGCTGGGACCAAGGCAGGACATGGCAAGAGACCAACTGACCTGGGGGGTGCTGTCCAACCCTCACCYCCTCTAAGGTGCCCTTTAGCGGGATAATTTCCCAGCAGGAAGATAAATTGAATGCAGTTTTGCTGTCACAWTTAATTTTGGCAGCACCACAGCACAGGGTATTTTCTCTGCTAATTTAAACAAAGTGCCAGCTGGCCCCGCTGGACACTGCAGATACCTTCTTTAAGCAGCCTTAGGGCTTTGGCAGCTGTCCTCTGCTCTACCTGCTGTCTGAAGGCACGGGTGGAATCACAAAGAAGCACTGAATTCTCTTGCCAAAAAGTAGCTGGGCAGTGCTGCTGCTTTGTGCTCTGCTGGAGCCCTTGCCAGCTCTGTGGGGATGATGCACAGAGTTCAGACAAAGCAGAGCTGATTCTCTGGCCAAGGCAGYCTCCTCAGGCTTTCCAGGCAAAGCTCCCTCTGTGATAGGCACACCTTGTCCACAGCCCACATCTTCATCAGCCCTGTTGTAAAGAATGAACACAGTGGAGTGGCTTTTCCAGGAAGTCCCTACCTTCTCAGAGCCTCTTACAAAAGGCTGTGTGCGCTTTCTCGACACAAATGACAGAGAAATAATACAGTAATGTCACACTGACATGGCACAGGGGACACCAGCCAGGARCTGCTTGTCCAGGCATTGTTTTGCCTCTACTGAATGCTGCCAAGAAGTCAAGCCTGGTTTCTGGAGGCAGCCCTCCCTCAGCTTTTAGCCTCGGAATAAACGATGTGTTCAGCTGCACCATCGCTCTTGGGTTCAGGGGATGGAGATTTCAGCTGACTCTCGGGGCCAATGGGCAGCCAGTAGTGAGAATTGACCTGTAATCATGCCATCCTTGTCACTCCTTTGCTAATTACTCTGCTCCGACTCTGCCAGAAGCAGCAGCAGATGATTGCACAGGCACTGCATGCTCAGGCTCCGAGGGATTTTGGAAAGCATCACTGAGCCTCTCTGCTCTGCACGGCCCCTGCTAGGGCAGGTAATATGGCTGCCCTGGGAAGGAAACAGGAGCAGGAAGCCCAAAACAACTGGTAACTCTTCCTGAGATRAAGGAAATTCTGAGGATAAACTGCCTGCTTAGATCTATCATATTTTTTTTTAAAAATCTAAATAGAGCTGTCTTCCACACTATGCCTGAGGGAAGTAATTAAAATACCCTGTTTTGCAATTTCCTACAAAATGCTGCAGTGGGGCAAGTCCGTAAAATATTGTGGGAATGTTAAATAGCACCAGTGTTTGCAGCACCCAGACAGACTGAGACACGCTGTGGTTGTGAGTTACCTGCAGGCACAAGCAAACTCAGCAAGGGAAACTGCCAAAAAGCCTTCAGGTGTAGTGTTCACAGCTCTGGGACTGTGAACGGCATGCCATGAGCCCCTTGGTACATTTGTGGTGTCTTGTYTGATGCCTTCCCTCAGCGGTTTCCCTTCAGTCAAACCCATGAAATACCAATGTCGCAGGAAAGAGTTTCTGGGAGTAGTGCTCTGAGTTGTTAGCCCATCCAGCCTGTTCAGCTCGAGGCTGGAAAACCAGATGAGCATTCCCCATCATCTTTAAACAAGAGCCCCAAATGAAATGATCCACTTCAAGAGCAAGGATTTTAAGTAATGTTTAGCCCTGGTGTGAATGTCTGATGGTAGAGCAGCTGTTCTATGTTTACTCTGCAGMCTCAATTTGTTCATTCTCTTCTGGTTCTCCATGTGTTTCAGATATATTGTCTACACTTACATTTCTCCCTCTCTCTTTCTTTCATGTTCCTTTGCCTCCTTTTGTTCACCATCAAAGTCTCACAAGGTAAGTTTGTTTCTGTTCTTCCTTCTCCTCCTTCTCACACTCTGAGCAGTTTCCCATGGAGAGCAGCGAGCGTGGGTCAGGGCAGCACATCTGGAATTCTCTGGTCAGTGCTGCCCGCTCCCAGCCCAAGCCTAGCCATTTGCCTTTCCATGTGTGTGTCCGACTGTCTTTGTGTCTGTCCTGTGGCAGCACAGCCCCAGGGATGTTGAAAATCTTCCCACAGCATTGAAATGCCCTGGGGATGCCCCAAGGACAGCSTTGGAGCAGAGCAGGAACCCGTTTCAGCCTTGAGAGCATCCTGAAGGCACCCTCTGCAGGAACCCAGTCCAGAAGGACAGCCTGTGCACACACTGAGTTCTTTTTGCCTCAATCTTACATGCAATGGTTTACAGAAGTGCAAGTTTAAGTAAACTCGATTAAATCAGTGATTTTGTGCACAGACCCACTTCATCCTGATTCCAGAGCTGTATCTCAGTTGTGTTGCAGGTGCACTGACTTAAAGCTGCTTCACACAGAATACCTACTCCTGTGCAATAAATGCAATAACATATAAACTACTGGATAAGTTAAGACTAAAGTATTGTAATAAATAAGTAGCAAAGGACAGGTAATTTTTTGGCTTATTTTGATCATGTGAAGAGAGAGACAGGCTGCCTTCCAGCCAGCTTCAACACTGGTTGAAGTGTCTGGRTAGCCAGACTGAAAACATTTCTCAGCCTTAATTTTCTTATATCTCAATAAGAGGCAGGGCTGTACCAGCAGGTTACTCTTACTTTAGTTAAAGATTTAAGGTAGGCTCCCCCTTTTTTTTTTAAAAAAAAAAACAACTCTGTTCCCTAAACAAATCAAACTGATGCTGCAGACAAGCCCAAATTACAGGTTTCCAGCCAGCTCACCTTGCCTTCAGAGCTGACTCACACTTGAAACATAAATGCATRTGAAATCATCATTTTGCCCCCTAGAAAAAAAAAGCTGTTTGAAAGAGATAAGAGTCTTTCTGTTCAGCTGCACACAAAAGGCAGCAATTCAGTTAAGTGTCATTAATCTGTCCCYGGTGCTTGTTTAACAGCAGGAGATCCAGACTGCCAAGCCTGGATGAATGTGCGGATTTTTTCTAAAGTACAGCAAAGTTCATTTTCTGAAGTCAATTCTTAGTTCAGCAAAAAGTCCCTTAAAGACAGGGGTTCTGGCACCTGCTGGTATTTTGTATTCAGTTTTTGTAAGGGACTTACAAAAGCCTAACATAACGGTTGGAAAGRAATATTAAAAAGCATCAATGGAAGAGTGTCTGAAAAGTTAAACATTCTTCTAAGCTATGAAATTTCAGACTTTGAAATTCCAAGTATAAAAATGACAGTACTTAGGTTACCTAAGCTAAGGAAAAAACCCTCCAGATTTTTAGTTGAAGAAGTTTTTTAGGTGCAAGATCTTCTCTTTGTCAGGCAGTGCAAGCGAGGACAGTTTGCTGCTTTAATAAGGAGACCTTTTGCCTTGATTCAGTCAGAATAACAAGCCCAGCTTCTCTTGAAAGGACAGTGGGTAAAGCTTCTGGYGCAGTCATTGCAACCACTTAGGAAAGCATTAAAAAATCCACTCATTTTCTCATTGTCCTGTATCAGCACRGGAGCTGCAGGTGCTCTCCTATTGCCCTTCCCTTCCCTGCCCCCTGTGGCATGGAGCTGTCCCCCACGGGATTTGCAGCCTGCCCTCAGGTGCACGACAGTAAAGGATCTGAGGCTCCCGGACCTGAGGAGCTGTGACAAGAGCAGGACAAGCTGATTGAGCCCCTGCAACATCCAGATGGCAGGAGCACAGCAGGGACCCCAAGGGCTTTGCTGCCTTCCTTGGGAGGTGCAGCAAACCTCATGGCCACAGGAACAGGAAAGGGTGTGAAGGAACAGGGATCCAGGCGCTTTCCTGCTGTAACTGGTTTTGCTGCTGAAAAGCTCAGTTTCCTCTGGACCCACTGGATGGCTGCTGTGCCCTGACAAAAGAACCTGTAATTCTGCTGGGCTGGAGCAAAGCAAGTGCAGAACAAGCAGGGAGAATATCATTAGAGGCATCCCGAGGTCTGTGTTGGACAGGTCAGCCTGTGATTAAAGGCATTCATTCCCTTTCTTCTCCAAGAGGTGTTTGCTGTCCTGTGCAAACTGCAGCGCAAATTGATCGCTGCTGGCGAGCCCTGTTAGCAAAAGCCAGCATGGGAACAAAAAGATGGATAAAGAAAAGCAGCCTCCTCCTCCCTGGCAGTCCTGTGGAAGGACAAGGCTCAAACACAAATAGATCACAAGGAGAGATGTGCATTGGATGCACAACCTGCCAGGTCAGTGCTTGGGAACAGCCGTGTCTCTGGAGCAGGATTTAAGGGCATCCATATCCCCTGCACTGCGGAAAAACAGACTCCATAAAAGCTTTAGGTTCTTGGGCTGTACTGAAATCGGTGACCACTGATACCTACTGTGCCTTTACAGTCTCTTCAAGCCCAATCCTGGCTGGTGGCAGGCGGGTGCCAAGCAGCAGGGCTGGCTGCCAGGGATGCTGTGCCCAGGAAGGTGGGTGCATCAGGMAGCTGTTGGCTAAAGCCGGGCCCGGGCAGGGCCACGAGGGGCCACGTGGCAACTTCCCTGTTTTCCACGTGGTTTTTGCTACTCCTGGTAAACCAGGCTCGTGGCTCGCTTGAGCTTCACCGACGGTCCTTGCTAGGAATTAACTCTAATCATGTTCCCTTCCCCTCCCTCCTCACAGGCTACAAGGAACAGGGGATCCCACAGCAGCTGTAGTGGCTGGGACAAGTATGGTCAGAGAAACACGGCGACAGATTTCCTTTGGCAGCCGTGGGCCACGGACCTTTTCATTACCCTTTGTCTCTCTTCTTCTCCCTTTTGTTTTGTTTGCCTGTGTTTGCCCRCTTCCCCTGCCCTTCCAGCGGAGCGGAGATGCAGAGCAGCCGGCGCAAACTTGCACTGATGCCCCCGAGCTGCGGAGATGAGGCAAGCACGGCTTGGCTTAGGACTGGTCCCGGCCAGCAGGCGGTGGGCGACCGACGAGGAGGACGAGGGTGCCAGGACAAGGAAACGCCCTTGGTGAAGGTGGCACCTGGGCAAGCAGCTGAACCGAGGGAGTGGGAGATGCTGCTCTCTCTCTCCTCCCAGGGAAGGTCGCTGAAGACGTTTTGCCTCCTTTTTCTGCTCGCTGTTAAAGGACACTGGCTATGAACACCAAATGCCAAGGAGCTATTCGCAGATACATGTGCAGGATGTAAAAGCAAACCAGTGGTACTTTTTTCCCACCCCGAGATTCCATCCTTGACTGCTCTCCAGCAGTGGAGGGTTCCCCCAGCCCCTTCTGCTGTCTRTGTATATATGATGTTCACCGAAGCTCTGTCCCCACAGATGTCTTGAGAAACGTGCTTGCTGTAAATGGTATTGTACCGCTGAAGTGACAGGGGCCATCCCCTGCTTCCATCCGCTGCCACCGTGCAAAGACCGGAGCTCCCACCAGCCCGGGGGGCACTTTTCCTAGCACAGCACTGGTGTCCTGCAGCACCTCGCCTCTAGGGCGGCCAGTACAGCCCTGTGCTGCCAAAAGCCTCTCGTATAAAACAATACTGGGGGAGCCAAAGGATGAGACTTTTCCTGCCCCTGAAAGGGCCTTGCTGGCAGTGTCTCCATGCTTTGGAAACGGACCCCATTGGAGTGTGCCGAGTGCTCCTGGCTGAAGCAGCGTCCCAGCTTGGCTTCCCCGGGTAAGTGCCCAAAGTTCCTGTTCCWCAGCCTGGTGCTCACCAGGTGCTTGGGAGCTGCTGTGGGTGGAAGGCCCATGGCCCRACAGGGTAGGGCTGTGAGTCCATGGTTTGAACACGATGTGCAAAGTTGGAGTGGCCATCCAGGTGGAGGGACCCCTCCGATCCCACAGGGAGAGAGGAGCTTGGCTTGGTGTCAGCACCTGGATGCTTTTCCACTCCAAAAAGCAGGAGGAGCCYTGCTGAAAGAGGGCTGAACCAAGCTGCTGCTCAGAGCCAGGGAGGGCCCTTCCAGCCAGACAGGARCTTCACACAAACGCACTGTCAAAACTGGGAGCCACCCGAGCTTGGCAGAGCTGAGACCAGCTCCCAGCCTGATGCTCCTGCCAAGAGGCAGGCAGTGAGAAAGGAATGGCAGCAAGCCCCACTGCCCCACAAGTGTCCAGCCTCTGCTGGCATGATGGTTTGCTTTTAACAAAGGTTTTCATTTTTCATGCAGAAYCGGTCCTGTCAGCTAAAATACCTGCTGTTGCAAAGGGAGCTGGGGTGTCAAACAGCAGCCAGTGCCCCTGAGCTGCYCACCAAGGGCAGGGGAGAGCCCTGTGCTGGGCAGGGTGCCTGTCAGTGATCCCACAGACAGCTGCTTGGGTAGAAAATCTCTGGCTTAGCCTCCCCACAGTCCCAGGTGTTCTCCTGATGTGCAGACACCAGCTGGCTTCAATGCAAGACATCTCTTCCCATAAAGCTTCCTACCTGCCCAGCGCCYACACTTCGCTGTGAGCCCACAGCCTGTGGAAAGCAGGCATCAGAACCTCTTTGCCCTCCCAGCTCAGGAGGTCCTTCTCCAGGGTTAGGGACAAAGCATCATCCACAGTCCCAACTAACTTGTGGTGGGACAGAACCCCTCSAAACAATGCACATTTATCCAGTGAAGGCATCAAAATGGATTGCAYGTTTTTCACCTTACCCTTCCATGTCTGTGCACTATAAAAAGCTTTGGGTTGCCTGAACAGGAGAAAGGGGCAAAGAGTTAGGAGCTTTGAGAGCACCAGCCTTCATTGTGAAGATGCTGGCTCAAGTATTTCCTCTGATCTCAGCAGTCTTAATTTGAATATATATGTAYATATATAAATAAGGATGCAAATTTGTAACACAAACAACTAATTCTATGTTTTACCAAGCCAAGCTTCAGCAAGGGCAGTGTATTTGTACAGCTGAGAAACAGCAGTATACAGTAAGGAAAAATGACAGGTCTCCAAAGCAAACCCATGGCACAGGAATAATTCAGGCTGAATTTCCCTTGCCTCAGACCCTAAGCTGTGGCTGGGACTGCCACACTGGACAGACAGAAACAGGTATTTAGCTACTACACTGCATCCAAACAGGGATGCTGAGCTCAACTTTTTGGGCTGCTGCATAGAAAGAGAAGATCCATGACAGGGTGCAGACAGGAAAGGTTTGCATTTGTCATTTTAGAGGAAAAGAGATGAGAAAACATCAATTTTTAGAGTGACATGAGCCACACAACACAGGCAGCAGAGAAGCAAAGGTTTCCCTGGAAGACAAGTACGAGCTGGTGCTTCTTGTTAAGCCAGGGCTGGAAGTGCTCAAGAGAAAAASCAGCACAGTTCTCCTGCCACAAGGGCAGGCTGCAAGAGCCATGGTCACCTTGCTGTGCCAGGGAGAGGCTTGGAGGACAGCAGCAGCTGGAGAAAATAATGAAAGTAGGTCAGTGTTAGAAAACCCAAGAGCCATCTGGGATCTGTGTTAAAGCCAAGAGCTGAGCTCCTCAARATTACCACTGCCCCAGCAATGGCCAAAAGGATTTCTGCTCACAACATTAAACAATTTCAAGTGTTTTGTCCATTTCTACCAAAGGGACTGGTTCAGGGAGTGGCCTGTGCTGTGGCATCTACAGCTCTGTGACTGGTTGGACTGTGCAGGTATTACRGAACTGAGCTTCCACATTTACTGCAAGACAGATCATCTCTGCTCCTCCATTTCCCACCTAGGAAAATAAGGGGTAAACAGGATCCTAMCCAGTAGCAAACAGGGAATCTGTAGCACATCTGGAAAACACCTTCACAAGCTGCTTCTGCCATCAGTGAGAATTTTTTTTGAGATCTATAGCTAGCCCTAAAGCCACCCAAACAACTTGCCTGCTCAGCTGCAGTGAGTGCAGTGACAAAGAGCAATGGTCACCCCTCACCTTTGCCGAGACAGCATGGCTGGGTCGAATGCAAACACCAAATGCTGCCTGAGCATCAAGGTAGATGTGCTGTGGTGTCAGGATGGTGTGGGCTGTGGTGTCAGGATGGGTGTGCAGGAGCCCCTGCAGGCATGGCTAACAGGATCAAAGTAACCAGGCAAAGCCTTTGGGTGCAGAAGCTCTGAAACAGGAACAGCCAAGCGTGGCCTGGCAACTGCTCCTGGTGCCTGTGAAGTTGGGCTCATTTCTAGAAGGTGGATTCAAATGTGCATTGGACAGGCAGAATTGCAAGCCTCAGTCTGGGGAGGATTAAACAAGCTGACATTTTCACTGGGCTCAGATTGCCAAAAGTCATATCTCCTGTGGCATCAGATGCCACATCAGCAGCAGATGCCCCATGCCAGAGACCTGTCCAAAAGGTCCCCTGAGAACAAAAAGGGGCAGAATTAGCTCCTCATCAGCATCACCAGGGTTTTGCTGACCTTTTGGGCCACATTTGGTGCTGTCTGTCTCTGTGCTCTAGTGMGGATGGGAGAACTGGATTGGTTGTGAAAGGCTTGTATGGAAATGCTGCCCTCCCTGGGATGGTGCTCCCCCTGAGAGCATCGCTTTGGTTATGGCTGTGCTGTCTGCATTTATTGCATGAGGGAGTTGGGTACTGCAGTGCAGCACTGCACAGACAAGGTGTGGGATTTATAATTTACTTTCAGGTTTTGCTCTATAATTTTTTTTTTTTTAATCTTTGATCCTTTTATCAATTTGGTGAAGCCAAGAAAACACTCAATTCACCACTTCAGAGGCTCTGAAATCTTGTCAAATGACACCCAGGACAAAGAGCCTTATTTCTTTCTGCCTGTTGTGGTGATTTGCTTAATTGATTTTAATTAGAAGCAGAGAGTTTCCCACTCTGCTTTAGGACAGGAGTCACTTTATAGATTGGCCTTGCTACCAGGCAGCAAGCATCAAATTGTATTTTCCCCAAAGCTGCCCTGTGGCAGCAAATAATCATGATAAATCCCTCTGCTTTTTCCAAGAGCCCTGATAAAAACTGGCACTGCCAAGCTCCCCCCAGGTGTGAGCAGCTCTGCTCTCAGGCAACAGTGAGCCCCTCACCTTGGCTTCAGGTATGCCCATGGCAAGTAGAGGGGAGCTGTGGGGACCTCAGTGACTGAGCCCAGGGCAGGGCTGTGGTCACCAGGGGWTTCTACTCCCATCTTTAATACACACCCTCCAGTGTGACTTGGTTTTGCTCCTCTTGTAAGAGGCTGGAKCTTTGTGGGCAGCTGGCAGCAGCTGGAGGGGCGTGTCTGGTGCCCACAAGCCAGGCACTGATGAGAGGAGCYACACCATAAAGACACAGAGTGAGTGACCATTTGGAGCCTTCCCCCACCAACAATTACTTTCTTTCTCTTTAGGGTAAAATTAACCAGCCAGTGCTTTCACACCTCTTTCTGAAGCACCGMAGAGGGGACAACAGCTTCACCTCCACCAGGGCTGGATAACTAACTCCCCTCCATCTTTTGGGAGCTGTGCCATGACCGCTGCTGCCAACCAGCCCTGCCTTCTCACCAGCACAGCCAGAGGTTACAGCCCGGATCCCTTCATCTGGTCCAGAGTGCATGGCACATGGCTATCCCAGCACCATCACCTGCTTTATCAATGTACATGTTTGACATGCAAGTGTCACAGCTAAAGAGTGATAGTGGGTAACGAGGAATAAACGCTGTTGTTTCACCCCCATCTGCCAGCAACACAGAATGTTCTGCTGCTCCTTTCTGATTGTGAAAACCAGGTTCATAAAAAAAAAAAAAAAAGGGCTTTAATGAAATAGTCTCTTGGTACTTGAACCCAGCTGGGCTGAACAATTGATTCACTACTCATTGGAAAGCAGTTCCAGGTAGGAACCAACCCAAATGTGTAGCCAGTGAAAAACCAGCTTTATTGTGAATCGGCCCAAGCATTGCAACGCAGAGCACAGTAACACTTTTTCCAAGTTCATTGGGGTTGCCAAATCCATATTTACCATGGAAAAGGTGCTTTGGCAGGTGACCCCCACCCTCCCAGCCCTTTGCCCGGTTTGCCATACTTGCTGCAGGGGCTTGGCATCGCTCTCAGCCGTGGCAATCACAGCCAGGCAGGTCAGTGGGGCTTTGTGGCAGGAGCAGCTCTGCACACACTGCCATGGGGTCAGGAATGTTAGATGTGAGAGCTGACTCTATCTGTGCCACATCCCTTGCTTCCCATAAAAAAAACTGCCTGCCCCTTCCCAGTGCACTGACTGTCACACATTTTACTACAGACTTTCCAGTTCCTTGTCATAATCTTGCCATGAATACTGAGCTGAGCTCTGAGGACAGGAAGCTGGAGAGTCACAGTCCCAGTATTCTCCAGGTTATGTTCCACCCCAGCCTTGCCTCCTGCTTCTTCTGGGTTGACCCTGCAGTTCACACACATGCACACACTCCAGACAGGGTGCATTTTATTGCTACCCAGCCCAAACTGCACTCACTGCAAAACACCGCCGAGAGTTTTCCTTGACACCTAAAGCCCAGGTACAAGGAGACCCATGGGCTTGGTTAGATCTGACATTCCTCCCAGGAAAAAGCAATGTCTTCTCACTACTCATTGCTAACCACAGTGTGGCAACACAGCCCTGTATTTTCCAGCTTACTTTGCTTCACGCTCACACACACGATGCACTTCAAAGAATTGCAGAAATTTATTTCCCAAACTGACACTCAGCATTCCCATCCCTCTGTGGGAGCAGCATGCTGCAAAACCCCAGGTCACCAGTGGCAGCAACTGCACCAGGGTTAATTACAGTGAATGCCACCAGAGCTCATGTCACTCACAAACCATCCTTATTACTGTTGCTATCTGTATAAATAACTAAAAWTCGGGCTAAAATTCAAGTTCTGCTTCTCTTGCACCCACTCACTGGCCACAGGGAAGCAACAATGCCCTGTTCCCACTGCTGCAATGGTGCAGTGGGAAGTGAAGGCTTCATTTAGGCTCTAGGAATGGMAAGGCCAGAGTAGCTGACTCCATCTTCCAGCTCTAAGAATGCTTCCAGCAGGCAGGTGAAGGGGAATGGCACATCTTGGCTTGGGATCAAAACAAGGAYTCACCTCCACCAGCACAGCCTGGAGGTGATGGCAGTGCTCCCCCAAACACCCAGCAGGTGACCCCACCCTGACCCACACCCTCCTTCACTCATCACACACAGACATGGGCGCTGTTCCCGAGGCTGGGAGGGGATCGCTGGCTCAAATCCGTGTTCTCTTTGGTTTTGGCCATRCACGGGTGCATCGGATTTTTTCACCCTAGGAAGGAGGGAGCAGTGCCCTGCCAAGCTGTGCCATTTGCACCTTGCTGGTGAGCCCACCTTTCGTTTCATACTGGAGCCCAAAYGGAGGGGTTGCAGAGGACCATTTGTATGCCTATTTATATCACCAAGTGTTGGATTGTGACTTCTTGTGTTTTGATACTGTGGATATTTTTTTTTAAAGTTAAATATAYTCTATTGCTGGACAGCTGGAACGAAATGCAGAGTCTCTTTATGTCACCTGAAGAAACCCCTTCATCCCTGATTCCAGATGGGTTCTGGTTCTCCTCCTCCCACCAGCAGCCTCCACACCCACATCCCCAGAGRAGAGGAGGCAAGGGTCAGGGCATGGCTTCCTTGAGGAACTCATGACCAGAACCTTCCAGAGGAGCAGAAGGCTGGTGAGAAGCCTCACCTGCACCTCTGGAGGGGAGAAAAGGGAGAGGGTAAAGACACTCTGTGGTCCCTTGTGCCCATCCCTACAAGCAATCCTTCTAGACTGGGTCTTGTTTGCAGTTTTAAATCTTTAATATGACTTCAGGCATGTTATCCCTGCTCCTGTGAGAGAGCAGCCCACGTGCTGTCAGGAATTTGGCTGAGCAGAGCTCAGCAGGTGGCAGAGCCTTCCCACGAAGGGCAACTCTGCTGCAGAGCCAGCAGCTTGTCAAATCACACCTGCACACTGCAGCCAACTGCGCTCCCTGTTCCTCCTGCAATGTACTGTGCCACAAAATGCCAAAACGCTCTGCTCCCTCCCCAAAGCCACCGTGCGTGGGGAAATACATGGGACATCCCAACTGGACTGGGGGACCAAATTCAGCTTTGGTGCAAGATCAGCAAGAAGGGCCTCCTCACACCCCATGGCTTTGAAGGGTGTGGTAGGTGAGGCAGAGGCTCCCTTTCACTTGCCATGTTTCTATTTATAGGCTTCACCCCTCAGCAGTGAAGCACTTTGGGATGAAAACTGATATATAGTATTATGGTACTATTAATACACCCGTGCAGACACACCATCACGTGGCAAACCCACTAGAAAGATCTGGGATAATTACCTCAAAGAGATTTCTTTAACACCCTGCTAATGGATCCATTTCAGAAGGGGAGGAGGAAAATGAGCAATAAACCACACAAAAGGAAAGTCAAAAACTGAAGCTTGGTGAAGACAAATGAGACACAGGGAAAACCTCCCTGCCTCATCCTCATCCAAGCAGCACCACRAGAACAGGTCTCTCCCTCACCTGAAGGAACAGGTGTTTCTCACGCCCTGTCCCAGGGAGTACTCTGGCATCAGGAGGCAGAAATCCAGGCAGTTTTCAAGGATTCAGAAGAGGCAGAGAGGCAAGAGGCAATGAGCACAGTCTTGCAGCTTCTGCTGGCTCCTCCAGTGGGCAGCAGCACCAGCTCTGCTGCAGCAAACACCCGAGCCACTGTTCCAACACCAGACAGCACCATCACCCAGAAACCCAGGGAGCGAGGTGAGCAGCGTGCTCAGGCAAGCACGCTGGCCCTTGCCTAAGCAACTATTTAAAAAAATAATGTTGGGACAAAGGAAGGTTATTGCAATGTATGCATGTGCTGCATCTCAAATCTCAAAGTCAGGCAGCCTAGATACACATTCAGATCCACATGCAGCTATGAGAAGGTAGCACCTGATCCTAGAAGGCAATATTACAATTACAGGCTATTTCAGAGCTTGTTTCCACAGGAAAACTGGAGCCCTGTGGAGGAGGATRTGAGTGTATGCTTRTGTCTAGGGCACAGTAARCACTGCACTGCCAGTGAGGTGAAGRGAGKCWTTGGGTTTTTAAGGGACAGGTYTTGGTTCSAGACCAGCCAGATGAATGSCTAAATTCTGTTTATTCAGAGGCCCACATGCTGTTGGGCAGCCAGGRCAGCACAGGGATTAGGAGCCACTGTCCCTGCAGAGACATTGTGTGAGCATCCTGGCAGGCTCAGRATGCTGCAGCCTGCCCTGCTGGAGCTTTTGCCTGCCAAAGTGGCCACTGTCACTGCCTGTGGCAGTCACATCAAGGCACGTTTGAAGCGCCTGCTTGGGGATGATGGATGGTGCGAGGAAGCATGTGGCACCCCACAGAGCCCACCCATGGGTCCTGCCATCTCCCCTTGCTGTTCTGGAGGAATAAAAATAAACAAAGCATGAATTYAGCACTAGAAAAGGATACCACACTGCCAGTGGGWAATTATTTTYAGCMACAGATCCTTTACAAAGGAGGAAAYGTATCTGTAGCATCTCTGTCTTGCTACTACAGACTCCTGTTGCTTTTTCTTCTCACATTCCCATCTCTGAGCCAAACCCCACTGCTGCAAGAGAAGTAAATCTGCGTGTGTTTTCATCTCTGCAGAAGTCCTGGGGTTCCTGCCATGGAACACAGCATGTAAACCATCTTGCAGCAAAGGCCCCTTCTGACACAGAGGTCAGTCACTAGAATTTAAAGCACTTGATTTTGTCTCCTGGCTCCGGTCAGGTGTTTGAGTWAATAATTTTGTGCCTCCATTTCCTTACCTGCTCCCTTGTTCCGGTAGTTTCAAGTCTGAGATTTCTACATCAGGGAAAGTGTGTTGGAACACCTGGCAACAGGCAATGTGGAGAGAGGGGAGCTGGCCCCAGGTCTTGCAGGTCTGACATCATTAATCCACACCAAGCAAATGGCAGGAGGCACAGAGTCCCAACAAACAGAAAGCACCAGCCCCAGTGCAGGCAGTGGGATGAGCTGCTGGGGCCCAAAAATCTTTCAGTTTCCTGCAGAGCTGTCCCAGCTGGCAACAACCTCCTCCATGAGCTTTCTCTTCTAAGCAGCACCAACAGCAGCTCTCCTGTGCTCTCTGGCTGCTCCAGGGTGGAAGCACAATTTCATCCTGGAGAGCAGCAGGACAAAGACAGGTCCCCAAGGGTGGGCAGAGAGGTAGTGCTGGGAAGAGAACACCCGACAATGTAAGAGCAACAGCAGCCCCTGGGGCACCTCCCCRAGCAGTCACTCCCCACACGAAGCCTTCCTCACTGGAGGCATCACTCGCGGTGCATCAGGCACTGGAGGTGCAGGACATGGCAGCGCTGTGTCCATGGCCCACTTTGAGGGGTGAAGTGCGGTCCTGGCCACGGCAGGTCATCCCTGGGGCCCTTGGGACTGCAGGAGCCATGTGACCGCTTAAACAGACTAAAAACTACCTTGAAAAAGGTGAACCAAACCAACTGACACTACAGCGGGGCCATGCCCACTTCTCCCATTTCCCAGTAGTTTCTAAATTACTTTTTTTTACTCTTCCCAATAACAAAGAAGAAATTTCTATTTTTTAAGGCCAGGGAAGTGAACAAAATGCAAACTCAAATGAGAGTGCGAGTGGGAAAGCAGTCCCAGAGGGGACGGAGGCTGGGGCTGCCAGGGGGCTCCAGCCCTGGAATGGCTCAGGGGGAAGACCCAGCCTCTCACCTCCAGAAGCACTCCGAAAGGAGATGTGGGTAGCATGAATCCATCACTTCATGCCCTGCTCGGGCTGCGTCTGGGACAGAGCCGCTGCAAGAAAGGGGGTTTACTAATTTTAACGACCCCTCAGCTCCCCCTGGGAGAGCCAAGTCCCAGAAGTGCCGGGGGCGGAGGGAAAATCCCAAAGCAGCGGCGCCGGGGAGCAGCAGGGCCGCATCCAGCATCCCGGGACTGCCAGCCCCTTTCCCGTTGGAAACGCGGCCTGGCCCGCACCCGGGGACACATCGCCATCTCCCGGCCCTCAGGGGAAGCGCCGGGAGCCCGCCCGGCCCTGGAGGGAGCGACCCCGGCCCCGGGAGAGAGCCCAGGCCGGCCCGGCCTCCGGGATCCCGGCTCCACCCCACCCGGGTGGTCGGCCGGGGGCTCAGGGCTCGTTTTTTAAGGTGTGGAGGAGAAGAAGCGCAGCCCTTGAGGGGTTGAAAGCAAACACGAGGCCGCCCCACCGGAGGGAGCTCCCCGCCCAAGCATCTCGAATCCAGCGGGACTCTGGAGGCGTCGGGCACATCGCTGTGCCAGAGTGGCTGAGGGGAGCGGCATCACCAGGCTGATAAGCACCCGCCGCACTCGGATGCTGCTGAGCYGTCCTGTCACCCGTGCCATGGTGTCCCCACGCTCCCCTGGCCACACATCCCCTGCAGCAACACACGGGCAGGAGAATCCCCGCTCTGGCGACCCCCTCCCTCCTGCTTGCCCCCGGCCACACTGGGCAGAGGACATGGGGCTGTTGCCAAATTCAAAACTTCAGGGTGGGGGCTGCTCTGCATCGTCCATGGCAGGGATAAAACTCCACCTCAGGGCCTTCCCAGAGACTGCCCAAAGCCCACCAGCTTGTGTGGTGAACAAACCTGAGCACAGCGTTTGACCCCTACCAACCACCACAGCCCAATCCTACATTTTCACAGGCTGGAAGTCCCAGCCAGCTCCCAGCACCCCCTGATTTATGGGGGGCTTGTTCTGGCAAGTAGAGCCTAATCAGATAATGCTGAAGGAAAGGAGCTGCCCCGTCCCTACCTAAAGCCTGAACAGGCTGCCTTACATACCCTGGCACTGCTGGAGGTGCTGGGAGGCTCTGTTTTGGAAGAGCAGAGGCCTCAGCAAGGTCTGAAGTTTTCTTTGTTGCATTAATGCAAGTCCTAGCCTCTTGTCTCTATACTGAGTTTATGAATCATTCAGTTTATTAATCCCTAAGGTGGCAGGCAGCTCTGGGCTTTGCTTTGGGGGTGGGGGCCAAGCCAGGCTCCTGCTGTGGCACATGCCAATGGGTGCCTGCCCCTTCCCAACCCTGTGCACAAACATCAGGGTCAGTGGCTGGCACTCAGCCACAAGGGGTTTCTTTCCCTGAATGACTCCCTTTCCCTCTTGAAAGGAGTAAGATCAATGTCTTTATAAACAGACAGTGTGAATCTGCTTGTAGATAAGGGCCAGGACTTACAGATAGGGAAGTAATAAGAGAAACAAGCAGTTCTAGAAAATGTTACCTATTGACACAGACTGTTGCTCAGCCAAGGCCATGTTGAATTCCTGAACTTAGAGAAGAACAAAGACTTAATAGAACTATGAATATGGTCTTGTTCTATAAAAAAATATAAAGGGGGGGGTGTGTGCATATTAGAAGGGGACATGTAGTAGGCGTATTGGGAAGCCTGTGCCTTCAAGCACCTCTGCCAATGGGGAAAGGAAGAGAGTGATGCAGAAATTAGGATAA